GTGTGTGTGTGTGTGTGTGTGTGTGTGTGTGTGTGTGTGTGTGTGTGTGTGTGTGTGTGTGTGTGTGTAAACCAAACACCTCAATCATTTTAGGAAACTGTTTTCTAGTTTGTTGTTTAAACCTATAGTTTCTTCAAATGACTGGGGTGGCCAAAGATTAACCTATGGGGGCCAAGGCCACCATTGACCCCCCCCTCCCCCCGCTCCTCCCCTGCACCTGGTGTTGATTAAATGTCTCCCTCCAGGATCCATCAGTCTGCTCTGCCTCAGATAAGACAGAAAACCTCCCTCAGTTCTCCACAGAGGAACTCCTCGTCACTTGAACGTCTTCATGAAAAACATCTAGGTTTGCCTCATTCTCTGTTCAGTTCCAGAGAAACATCATGAAACTACAAACATCCACTGGTCACATTCTCTGAGGACTGTTTGTTTTAGTGTGACTGTGTCTGAAGCTGTGCCGAATGATTAATGTTTGTTTGTTTGTTTGTTTGTTTGTGCAGTGGGGTCCAGCTCTGTACGTGTGCTATAAGAGAGCCGTAGCCAAAGCCAACTCCCTGCTGTTTGAAGCTGGTGAGTATTTATGTCTCTTCATGGTCAGCTCTAACTTCTGCTTCTGATGGTGAGGAGGAAGGTTCAAGAACTGTTCTGTGTCTTCTGGACCCTCCATGTGAAGGACTGGCTCTGTTACAGTGTACCAGGTGAAACCTTTGACCTCCAGGAACGAGTTTCAGACATGTTCATGTAACAACGGTGGCTCATTCAGGGAAAGGCCTGAGTGAGTCCTGGTCTCAGTAAACCCCTTCCAGAGACCGTCCGGTTCGGATCAGGGGTTCCAGATGTGATGTGGAGCTGTGTGTTGCTGCAGGTCTGATCAGCCGGTACCCGGAGGAGGACCTGGACTCGTTCCCTCTGCCCGAGTCGGTGCCGGTGTTCTGTCTGCCGATGGGTGTCAGCGTGGAGAGCTGGCCCCTCAACACCAAGTACCAGCTGCCCGTCTTCTCCACCTTCGTCCTGACGTCCGCGTCTGGGGACAAGGTGGGTGGGGCCAACATCTGTCCTTAATAAAACAGCTCATGCTGTCATCACGAGTCAGAACGTTGCAGCTGCTGAGGTGTGGGTTGTTGAGCGACTTAAGTTACCTGAGGTCAGGAAGAAATAAATATTAATAAACCAAACCAGCTTTATTTAAACAGCCACAGGAGCAAGGTGCTGCACACAGAATAAAACCATCCGCCAATAAAGAACGAGTCAACGTGACAGAGGGCGTCAAAGGCCAGAAGAGATGGTTTGAAGAAGGGATTTAAAACCAGACAGGGAGGAGACCTGGCTGATATTCTCATGGCCTCTGACAATGGACAGGTGTCCACACTGCATAGGTGTCACAACCATTACATGTGATGGGGACGTGTGTCCCCCCCACACACATTCAAATAACATTCATTTGGACCCCCCCCCATGAAATATTAGTTAGTCGGCGCAGTTTCTCTTTCTTCATGAATTAATCCATTCCACTTGATTAACAGGAGAATACTCAAACCACTAAAACTCCACTCCAGGTTTTCCTGGTTACCTCCATATCAACAGCCTGCAGTTCCTCGACTGTGTCTCCTGCCTCGGCAGAACGCTCACAGGTGGAAGACGGGGAGACACCTCTGTGTTGCTCACCAGCTTTGATGGAGCTAAATTCAAAGCAGTCTGCTCTTCAGATAAATAGTGTTAACTTCCTGATGCATGCTCAATAATCCAGGTAGAAACATCTAAAAAAGTTAAATCAGGTTCTCTGGACTGGTTCAGAAAACAAAAAAAAAAGTAGAAATGTTTCATCTGAAAGACTTCATCAGTCTGAGGAGCTGAATTCAGCTCAGTTCAGTTTATTTCTAAAGCTCCAAGTCACAACAGAAGTCGTCTCAGAGCACAGAACAGAAACATTCAAATATAAAATAATAATTGAACAGAAACATTCAAATATAAAATAATAATTGAACAGAAACATTCATCTATAAAATAATAATTGAACAGAAACATTCATGTATAAAATAATAATT